GTGCAGGCTAACCGGTAAATGCCGGTATTATTTAGATGGTAGCCATTGATTAAAACGCAGGTAGGTACAGTACAAATAAAAATGCTCATAACCTCATTTCAACTCAATTCAGGTAAAAAGTTGATTAGGTCAAAGAGTGTACTTATTAAAAATAGGTAATAGAAAAAAAAAACGAGTTCATTTTACAGAGGCCGATGACGAACCTTTTCAGCAAGATATAAAGATCTTCTTCTTCTGAAATTTTATGTTGACTTTTTGTATTGAACTTGTTTCTTTCGAAGCAAAAATTACCTTCACACTCGTTGTTCCGTAAAGATCGTCTCTGTATTCCATGTTGTTGTTGTCCAACACTTCTAACAAGATTGCATCTTCAAAATCTGAATCATCACTGGAGTCATATAAAATCAATTCATCCATGATTTTGAAGCAAAACGTACAGAAAAACAGGTTGTATGTTGCTCCAAAAACTGTTTGTTTATCTGTCAAATTCGTTAACGGTAGAGATTAAATTTTCAAGAGCAACGAAAACTCTCTATTGATTTTGTCGTTAGTCCTTATATACTCCTGGACAAAATTATCGCACCACTGCTTATGGTGCTTATGTGCAGTGGTGGTGCGATAATTTTGTCCAGGAGTATATAAATAGGTGATGCTTACTTATACTTTTTATTGGGGGCTACAACGATTAAAGTACCAATCTTTACTTTTTCACATAAGAGTTAGAAGGTTTCTCTTTTTTTTTTTTTCTTCAAGTTTTGATTAGACACGGCGCTTGAAGTGGAGGAGAAAATCCTATAATGTGTGATTTTTTAGTAAGGGTCATCTCTCGGACTCTCTACTATAGTAGAATCGGAATAATTTGGCATATTAAATAAAATATGCAAACTAATCACAATTAAGAAAACTGCCCTAGAAATGTGAAAGACGGACGATTTTCTTGTCACATGCTATAAAGAAAGTAAACATAGACAGCTACTGCTTTTTAACGCTTGTCTAATTCGTAAAGGCATCCCAGGTAGGGTCCCATTGGTACCCCTGGGTACCACCATTGCAAACGTACGACCCTATATTCAGGGTGTCGGTAGTACTAAGCGATAAGGAAAAGTACCTAGTTGTCTCTTTTCACTCTATTATTTATAGCATTTGACAACAAAAATGTATGTCTTTTCACATTTCTAGGGCAGTTTTCTCATGGTTTGCATATTTTATTGCCTATTATGCCAAATTATTCCGACTCTACTATAGAATTAATAATGGAAGGCGAAAAGTAATTTTCTTGCCACTGTTAGGTTGGTTACTTCGACTGAGATTGTTTTATTCTCAGTCATTTTCAATCAAGAGCCCCTCATTTCGTGATATACAATTATACCAAGTGATTTACGAGTAACAAGACAAAGTTGCTGTATTATCGAATATTACTTTGAAGTTCTTTCACACAGTAACAGTCCTGTTCCAGAAACTTCTAGAGATTAGTACTGAAACTATTAAGTTCCAAGTAGGGTATACTTACTTGCATATATTTTTTTTCGAATCCTTTCAATTTATTCCCAAAACGATTTAGTTTTTTATATACAGGGTGTCCCAGGGAAAATAGTCCACACTGAAATATTTGAGAATTAATTTTCTAGCTGAAAACGGCCGCACACGTCAAATTTAATATTGGGAGGGCATGTTATATGAGATATGCTTGCGTTTCTCTCCCTTCATCTTCCTACCCATCAGAGCCAGCCCATGAATTTTTTTATGTGGGAGAGGGGTTGTATGATACCTTCATTAAAAGCTAATTTCATTCTCTACATTATCCTGTTCTGCCGCCGGGTGCAGTTAGCACCTCTGCACCCCCCTAAGGCCGGCGCTGACATCAATTCATTCAATCAAGAATAGCTACAAGAACCTCAGAACTAAAGTTAAGTATCAAACTGCGCAAGAGTTGCAAGAGGCTTATCATGAAACCATTGAGGGCAAAGTCAACATAGACCCAAGCAGCTTTTGGGACTTTGTAAGGTCCAAGCGAGCAAGATCTGGTATTCCCTCAGAGGTCTGTTATGGGGGTTGTGTGGTGAGTGGTGCCCAGGATGTGGCTGATACATTTGCTCTTTATTTCAGCTCAGTGTTCCAGCGGTCTGAGAGTTCTGATAATGACACGAATGATGGGTGTAACGGTAGTTTCGCATTCTTCCCTATCACAGAGGAACAGATCATGGCAAGCATTAAGAAGTTAAAGCCAAAAAGGACTACTGGTAGTGATAACATCCCCTCATATATCTATAAGGAATGCTCTGATATCCTGTGTGCTCCATTGATGAAACTTTTCAACTTGTGTCTGAGAATGAGCAAGTTTCCTGAAGCATTGAAGTGTGCAGCGGTGACTCCTGTCTTCAAATCGGGGGACGTCAACCTGGTTGACAATTATAGGCCAATTAGTGTCCTTAATTCACTTGCTAAAATTTTCGAAAATATATTGTATCAGGATATCATGAGCTTCTTTATGAATGATTTTTCTCCACAGCAGCATAGTTTCCTGCCTGGTGTTTCAACTGTCACCAATCTAAGCATCTTGACAGAAGCCGCAGCCAAGGCTGTGGATAGTAAGGAACAGTTAGATGTTGTGCTAACAGATTGTGCAAAGGCTTTCGATAGGGTTGACCATGGTCTGCTGGTGGATAAACTGGGCAAGTTTGGATTTTCACTGAATGCATGTAAATTTATGTCATCCTATCTCATCATGAGACCCCAACAAGTTAAGGTTGGTAAGGAATTATCAAGGCAATACATAGCTACATCCGGGGTGCCACAGGGTAGTAACCTGGGTCCCTTGTTGTTCTCAATTTTCATAAATGATCTGCCCGACTGCATAAAACATTCAGAGTGCCTTCTATTTGCGGATGACTTCAAAATATTTAAGCATATAGCATCCCCAAGTGATTGTCATGAGCTGCAACATGACCTGGGTTTGGTGTCTCAGTGGTTTAATATTAATAAAATGTCTTTAAATGTTAGCAAGTGTCATGTTTTGAGTTTCACACGTAAAATACAATTTACAAATTTTAACTACAGGATTGACAACATTGCACTGAGTAGAGAGAATAAATGTAGGGACCTTGGAGTTTGCTTCCAAACAAATTTAAGATTTGGCCAGCATTATGAAGCCATTGTCAATAAATCATATAAGCTTCTTGGTTTTGTAATCAGGAATACAAAATACTTTAAAAATGTCAGGACAATAATAACTTTGTATAATGCTCTGGTTAGACCTAATTTGGAGTACGCCTCAATTATTTGGTCACCACAAACAATGTGCCATGCTGACATGATTGAAAAAGTGCAAAAGAGATTCTTAAGGTACCTGTATTTGAAAACTCACAAAGTGTATCCTTACATGGTCTCCTATAATAGTATGCTGGTAGAATTTAAAATGGTGAAATTGAGTGTCAGGCGTAGTTTGAATGATGTTTTATTTATTTACAATATTGTTAACAACTTAAAGTATAAAAAATGTTCCTTAATTAATGATATAATGTTTCTAGTTCCTAAAATTAATTTAAGAATATAGGATAATAAATTTTTTCAATGTCTACCTTCAAATAGTTCTCCTATAAATCGCATGATGCGTGAATGTAATTTTTTTATTGAGGAGGGTGATATAGACCTCTTCAGTACGACAGCAGAACAAATTAAGTGTGTGATATTGAATAATAATGTATTGTGATATTTGTGATCGCCTATCTATAGTGATGAGTGAATCACTTTTTTCTCTTTTTTTTCTGTTTTTATATTTTTGGTTTATTGTTTCTGTTCCTCGTTTGTTTTTTATATTTTTATATTTTGCCTCTTATTTTATACATAGTCTTAATTATTAGTTTAGATTAAGTCTAGTTTATCCAGTAAGCACTCTTACATTTAAGTACATTTACATGTGTTTGTAGGAGTATAAATGAATAAATAAATAAATAAATTCATTTTCTAGAAGGTTATCATCTTGTTCAGTTTCAGTTTGTTGCAGGTCTGCTAGATCTCTCGATCTTACGCCTTTGGATTATTTCTTATGGGGGACATCTAACAACCAATTGTACTTCTATATGGAGGTCAATGGAGAACATTTTTAACATTTAATAAAATAATTTCTCATCCATATTTCTCAAGAACGAATCGATAGAAGTAAAAAACATAAACAGGGTCATGTATGCAAAATTACCTTTTAGTCAAGGTATCACTCAATTTTGATGATTTTCAATTTTGAATTTCTGAGAAAAGAATCATTTATACAGCTTTATATTGGGCCTTTCAGATCCTCTTTCTCACGGAAATATGAAGGAGATTTTGAATAAAAATTTCATGCAAGTAGGTACCTTATTGTAGTAATAACAACTACAGAATTACTCAAAAAGTCTATACCTATAAAACTACGATTTTTTTAGTAATTTGTTAATACTAACAAGAACTTATTCGAAATTCCGATCTCGGTATCCGCTACTTTAATGTTGCTTGGGATATCATAATTTAGTCCCCGAGACTTTCAGAAAAAGTTTTCAAACTCTCATAGAAAATACTACAATAAGAAAAACACAACAAACTACAAGACAACAGAAAGAGCAGATAACAAAAGAATTTCTGAAATCTGGAATGCGCGTGCGCTGACATAAAATTTGCGACGAATATCGCAAAACACTTTCAATTTTCCCGCTCCCTTGATTTCAATTTTGCGTATTCGCACCAAATTTAAATCTGACAGATGTCACTTCTCTTAACAGTGGACTCCGCAATTCGTGATTCGCACCTATATGAAATGAACTACACTTTCAAGTGTGGCCAGCCTTAAAAAGTATGTCACATTTTCATTTAAATGAACAATCAATTAAAGATAAGGCGAATTCCCCTTGCGGGCAACCGTACCAGAACGATCACAACAAACCGCTTACCTGATCCCCAAAAAAAATTAACAGAAAGATATTCAATTTAGTTGGAATCAGTTTAATCCAATGGGAAATGGGAAAGGAGGAGCTACAACAGCCAATCTGGCCAATGATTGGATCCGCGTTAACTACGTTGTTGATGCCATGGCAACCGCTTAGTTGGTGGCTAGTCTACAGCTGACATTCGTTCGAGTTGGCTGAAAGAAGCGCTTTCGGTCTCCCTTCGGCGCTTTTTGGTCCTTCGAGCAGGAACATCGACTTAAATGTTAACATTTAACATTTAATTTTTTTTTTTTTTTTGATATGGTGTTAAGTATTGTTAATTTAAAAATAAATTGAACGCGACAAAAAATATAACAGACAATGTCCGACCACGAGTTAATGGAAGAAGACCACGAAATAAACATTTTGGACACCGACTCTCGGTTATCGCATAGTGATAGTGATGCCAGAAGCTTGCGTAGCCACTGTAGCAGTCCAGACAATGAATCGTCGTCGCACACGTCAACAAAAAGCTCGCTACCTTTTAGTATTTCAAATTTACTAGGCAAAAATTTCGAAAACAAATCGTCGCCTGATTCGGGCGGCGGGACGCTCTACCAAACTCCAGCCGGTATATTTCAACAGAGAAGTGTACTGAGCGGACTTATGCCTAGCGGGTTTTATGGGCACGGTGTTTTAAGGGTGCCGGCACACAGGCCTCTTGGTGGTCCAGGAAGTCCTCCGGGTGCTACGGTATTTAATCCTTGGACGCTCAGTTTGGATCCGGTACTGCAACGATCAGCCGCCGCGGCGGCTTTCGCTTCGCAAGTCGTTAAAGACAGATTAGCAGGTGAGCCTATAGGAAAAATATCTATATTAACTATTTCAAGCACTGCAATTATCAAATTGCAATTATTATTCACTACTCATTTCAAAGCTTCTACCAAAATATATCTTCAGTTTGCTCATAGAGGATCTTTGTGGTATTCAAAATAAGTATTCAATTCAAGTGGGTAACTCCATTTTAACTATTGAAGATTTTTTAGTTTAGAATCACCTAAAACCAACCTTCATGGATTTCCGTTCGCTCGAAAAAAAAAAATAAAAAATTATATCCGAGCTTTGAATAAAATTACCTAACCACTAGGTGAACGCACTGCACATTTTGAATAACTACCAAAAAAAAAGTTCATCAAAATCGTGTAATCAATCCTTAACATGTTTATGAAAAAATGTGAGTCATAATGCAAAAGTTCGCCGGTATGACGAGAAAAAAATAATAACATTATTAAAAATTTAATTAATAATTGTGTATTATACATTTTTGAGTTGTTGAGGGTGGTTACAGTCATCACATCACAAACCAATAGACAACATTTTGAAAACCTAAAATGTATAAAATTTTCATCGTGATTGAATATTTTATTTAATTTCAAAATGCTGTTTGAAATTTTTTTATAAAAATCGGGTATGAAGTATGTAACATGTTTATGAAATGTGTGTCATAATCCAAAATTACTGTACGATGAGGAAAAAAAATAGTAAAGTTACTAAAAGTTGAATTAATTGTGTATTGCACATACATACCTACATTGTTGTGTTGTTGAGGATGGCCATAATCATTACAAACCGATGTCTATTCAAATTATTATATTGTCTCAAACTACTGTAGAGACTCCTCCAATGGGTATGGAGGTACAATTATTTTAATGAAAAAATCATTCTCTTTAAACTTCAATATGGAGGAGGTTGACAAGTATGACTTCTTGCGTGTGGAAAAAGAATTCGAATTTTCGATTGCATTTAACAGAAAACACAATTTGTATTTAATTTGTATATATAGACCTCCAAGAACAAATGCTACAGGTTTTTTAGTGAACTTAGAAACCATTTTATTGGATTTACCGGTTAATTGTAAGGTCATTTTGTCAGGAGATCTAAATATTAACTTTATTGACAACCAATCACCAGCTACTCTGGCATTAAAGGACCTACTGTGCTCTTATGGTTTGTCCATGCATGTTGACTCTCCTACCAGGGTAGCTGAAGATTCTGCTACTGTTATTGACTATTTTTGTACTAACTTATCCGAGAACGGGGTTAACTGTGAAATGGTTTCCACCCCTGGACTGTCAGACCATGAGGCATTGTTAGCCAACTTCTCTCTGCTCTGCACAAAACAAAAAATACCCCAAAGATATGGGAGGATTTTTTCAAGTCGGAATTTTGAAAGATTTAATACTTGTTCTTCCTTGGTGGACTGGGAGTGTGTGCTTGCTTCAGAAAAACCTCTGGAATTGTTCCATACACTATTGCACAATACGTTTGCCAAGAGCTTTCCAGTGTGCAATATGAGAGCAAAAAAGCCCAAAAAAAACTGGATTACGAAAGGCATTAAGACTTCCTCAAGAAATCTTAAATCTTTACATTTCATCAAAAAGTTTGCCGATAGTCAGTATTTTATAAATTATTATAATGAATATCGGAAAATTTATAGGAAAGTTATCGGATCAGCAAAATTACAATACTATCAAAATAGAATCTCTAATGCAAAAAACCCTTCAAAAGAGGCATGGTCCATTGTGAACGACCTAAGGGGCAAGCATAGCCATGCAGAAAAGTCAGCTGATATTCAGCCAAACATTCTAAATGAATTCTACTGTTCAATTGCGAAAAAAATTTCAGACAAGATAGAACCCGCCTTAGATCCCCTCAGTTATCTTAGCCATTCACACATCGATGAAACATTCACTTTAACAGAAACAACTGTAGAGGAACTTAAAATCATAATCAGAGACATAAAAAATAAAAACTCTGCTGGAATAGACGAGATGTCTGTCAAAATCTTTCAAAACTTAAATGATAATAGTCTCTATGTGCTGTCACAGGCCATCAACAAATGTTTTGAGGTTGGTGAATTCCCCGACTCACTTAAGGTTGCCTTGGTGGTCCCCATACATAGAGGTGGCTCCTTCAAGGACCCAGCTAACTTTAGACCCATTTCACTTTTAAATACTCTGTCAAAAATAGTGGAGAAGGTGGTGAAGAATAGACTGACTGTGTTTTTATCACGTAACAATATAATTAGCGATTGTCAATTTGGATTTCAGTCATCTAAAAGTACTAGTGATGCTGTATTCTGTTTCCTGGAGCAATTGTATTTGAAACTGAACGATAGAGAGGTTGCAGCTGCGGTTTTCTGCGATCTCTCTAAAGCGTTCGATTGCGTTAGACATGACATACTCTTGAATAAAATGTATATTTATGGAATTCGGGACACTTCATTGAAATTCTTTACCTCATATTTATCAAAAAGGACCCAAATGGTTAATAACAGGAGTTCCATATCATCAGCCTTAGCAATTGACACAGGAGTTCCACAAGGTTCTGTCCTGGGACCTATTTTGTTTTTGATGTATGTTAATGACCTTTTTGAATTAGGTACCACTTGAGTGTATGTTCACTGGTTTTGCTGACGATATTACGCCCCTTTGGCACCATAAGGACCCACTGCTCTTGAAAGAGATTGTTTCTAATGACCTCCATCAAATAAAAGCATGGTGTGATTCAAATTTTCTAAGTTTTAATATTGAAAAAACCAAAGTTCTCAGTTTTAAATTTACATTTGATAATCTTCAACTTGGAAATCAGTCAATCGGTCTCAGTCAGGATACTAAATTTCTTGGAATTAATATTGACTGCAATTTAAAATTTTTCCAGCATATAATCAACTTAAATAAAAAAATTGTCAGTCTATGGCTAAGGCCACTTATTTTGCTCTTGTTGAGTCCCACTTGCGCTATGGAATTGCTTTTTGGGGGAACTGCAGTAAGTGTTTGTTTCAATCAGTGTTTACTCTTCAGAAACGTTCTGTTAGGTATATTTTTGGAACAGGTCTCAGAGATCACTGCCGAGAATTATTTAGGAGGGGGGAATGTTAACCTTAGTGGATCTCTTTATCTTAGAGACTGTCTGTTTAGTTCACAAGAGGTACCAGGGTACTACACATGCGCACTCCTATCCAACAAGGAACTACAACCTGATACCTTTGCCTATACCAAGGTTCTCTCTAACTCAGGATTCTCTGATTTATAAAAGTATACAAATGTACAATAAACTACCATTAAATTTAAAAACGGATCAAAATTATAAATCTTTTAGAAATAAGGTTAAAAGTTTATTGGCAGATAAAACATTTTATTCTCTTGACGAGTATTTTGATGACAACCTTTAACAGGATCTTGTGTCTCTATCGTGATGTAAGTGTCTAAAACTCAACTTTATGTTTTATGTTTTATACTACTTGTAGGACAGGGTCTACCTGATTTAGTAATAGATTCACAATGCCATAATAACTGATGTGTTCTAAATTTTAAAAATGTTACAAATTTACTAATAAGTACTGAATTTTTCTTTTATTGTTAGTCATTTTACCACTTGCTAGTGCCACTGCTGTAGTGTCTTTTTTACTTGTTATCTGTTCTTATATTTTATATTATTAAGGATGTTGCTTTGTCAATAGAATGTACTATAATTTTCTGACAATAAAGCATATTTGAAATTTGAAATATTCAAAAAGGTAAAATTTATACAATTTTAATCTTGATTGAATATTTTATCTGATACCTTATAATATATGTATTTGTATTTTTCAATACCAAACTAAATCAAAACAAACTATATAAGTGAATGGAGAATGGGTATATTCTACAAAGTTCAAATTAAAAAATTATCCTTAAGCTTATTTTATATCGATGCTAGTTCCGAAATTGTTACACAACAAAAATTACTCCTTTAACAATGGAATTAAGTAAAAAAAAAAATTTACATCATAACTATTTATTTATTTTTCTGTGTTGTGTGTTTAGTGCCAAGCATAAGAGCATAATAATATGGGGTCTATGTTCATACATATTTCGAAAACAGACATTTCGAATCTTTTATTTCGAATGCTTTTATTTCGAAAACTTTTATTTGGAAGTACCTTTTTTTCGAAATCCAATCATTTCGAAAACATGCATTTCGAAAATTTTCATTTCGAATTACCTTTTCTTCGAAATACAATCATTTCGAAAACATTTATTTCGAAAACTCTTATTTCGAATTACTTTCTTTTCGAAATTCAATTATTTCGATAAGATTTATTTTGCAAACTCTTTTTTCGAATTACTTTTTTTTCGAAATTCAATAATTTCGAAAACATTAATTTCGAAAACAATAATTTCGATCTTCAATAATTTCGAAAACAATAATTTCGATCTTCAATAATTTCGAAAACAATAATTTCGATATTCAATAATTTCGAAAGCATTTATTTCGAAACTCAATATTTATTATCATACATGACCTCTGTGCAGTGCGCTCCAGCAGACAATATTAAATTTACCAATAATAACCGGGTTAGTTTGGGTTAGTTTACAATTTTATTCAGAAATTACCAAACTTACCGATTATAACCTGGTTGGTTTGAGTTATGCTGCATTTTAATGTCTGATTATAATTGCAAACTAACCCAAACTAACCAGGTTATTTTTGGTAAGTTTGGTAATTTCTGATTAAAATTGCAACCTAACAACTAACCCAAACAAAATTATTGAATTTCGAAAGGAAAGTCATTCGAAATGAATGTTTTCGGAATAAATATTTTCGGAATAAATGTTTTCGGAATAAATCTTTTCGGAATAAATGTTTTCGAAATGATTGAATTTCGAAAAAAAAGTATTTCGAAACAAAAGTTTTTGAAATAAATGTTTTCGAAAATATTGAATTTCGAAAAAAAAGTAATTCGAAATAAAAGTTTTCAAAATAAATATTTTCGAAATGATTGAATTTCGAAAAAAAGGTAATTCG